GAGACAGAGTTTCTCTGTGTAGTTTTGGTGCCTGTCCTGGATCTTGCTCTGTAGTCCAGGCTGGCCTCGAACTCACAGAGATCTGCCTGGCTCTGCCTCCTCAGTGCTGGGATTAAAGGCGTGCGCCACTGCTGCCTGTCAAGCCCCGAGTTCTAACCAGCCCTGCAAGGAAGGGCCTCTGAGCACTCCATTGCTCAAATAAAACCACCACCCGATGACCCGTCCTTTGTCAGTTTACATTATCAGCTCCTCCTAGTCTCCGAACCAAGACATGTAAAGTTTTTCCCCAACAGCAGACTCAGCTCTGGATACTGGTGCTGAGAAGGGGGTGCGGGGTGTGTGTGTGTATGTGTGTGTGTGTGTGTGTGTGTGTGTGCTCTGTATTGGGGAGCTCTTTGGTCTGTCCACTGTGCTGGGGAGGAGGGTTCGTATTGCCAGGAGGAATGGTCCGTCTTCTTCCAGGGGACTTGCTGGACTCCAACCCCACCATTTGTCCCTACGTTGGTTGAATGGTGAGTTTTACTGTTTTGAGCCATTGGAACTTTCCTGTTATGTTTTGGGAGACACATGTAAATATATAAATATCCTGTTTCTCATTCTGAAGAACTTAGGGCATAGAGGACGGGAAGCATGGATTCATTTATTCTGAGGGTTCTGCCCTTCAGGCCTTTGAAAAGTTAAGCATGACAGTATTTAGCTGAACTGGAAAACATGTGCTGGGGGCCAGGATCTGTTTCCAGAAATCTCACTCAAGGAAACCAAGTAGTGGGAATAGAAAGCTCATGACAAAGGTGTTTATGGGAGTTTTATACCTTATTATAAACATCTGGACACAATACATTTTCTAGCAGCAGAGAAATATTTAGCAAGTATAAAATAATGATTTTCAAGTAAAGTATTGCTCTTAACTACTTTTTGTTTGTTTGTTTTTAGTTCTGGGAAATCAAACCAAGACATTATATATGCTGTGTGGTGGTGTGAATGAAAATGACTCTCATAGGCTCATCTATTTGCAAGCTTAGTCCTCAATTAGTGGAACTGTTTGGGAAGAATTAAGAGGTGTGGCCCCATTGGAGGAAGTGTGTCATTGGGGGTGGGCTTTGAGGTTTCAAAACCCTCTACCTGGTGCTTGTAGATCAGATACACGGTCTCAGCTACTTGTCCAGTGCCATGCCTGCCTGCCAGCTACCATGCTCTCCTCCATAATAGTGATGGACTCACTCTCTGTAACTGTAAGCTCCCAACCTGTTTCTACTCTAAGTTACTTCCGTCATGGTACACACGGCAGTAGAAAAGTAACTAAGACACCAGGCACATTCCCGGGCCACATCTTTAACTTTCTTGCTAGTTTGTTATTGCTGTTACTTCACACATGTGTGTCTAAAAAGAAATCAATAAAAGCACAGGAAGAAGATAGAATGATGGAAAACACACCAAAATGCTACAATTGCTAATCTCTTGGTGACTTTTTTACTTTTTCAGAAGCAAAAATTGTTTATATCTTGATTTTTCAATAATACGTGTTCTATTTTGGAATCATTTAAAGTGTTTAATATTTTTATTTTATTTTATGCATACCATATGCATACCTGGTACCCAGAGAGGCCAGAAGAGGGTACTGAACCTTCTGGAACTGGAGTTACAGGCAGTTGTTTGCTGCCATGTGGGTGCTGGGAATCAAACCCCAGTGCTGTGGGATGTCTGTATGTCAAATTGCTCTGATTGGTCAATATATAAAACACTGATTGGCCAGTGGCCAGGCAGGAAGTAGGTGGGACAAGGAGAGAGGAGAATTCTGGGAAGCAGAAGGCTGAGGCAGAGAGACACTGCCAGCTGCCGCCATGACCAGCAGCATGTGAAGACACCGGTAAGCCACCAGCCATGTGGCAAGGTATAGATTTATAGAAATGGATTAATATAAGCTATAAGAACAGTTAGCAAGAAGCCTGCCATGGCCATACAGTTTGTAAGCAATATAAGTTTCTGTGTTTACTTGGTTGGGTCTGAGTGGCTGTGGGACTGGCAGGTGACAAAGATTTGTCCTGACTGTGGGCAAGGCAGGAAAACTCTAGCTACACCCCAGTCCTCTGTAAGAGTATCAAAGGTACTCTCCAGCCCCTTTAGGAATTATTTTTATAATAGGAAGGAATATAAGTAGGTTGACAAAAAGCTGAGAGATGGAGATGAAATTTTAAGGTGGGCTTTTCATAGTGACAATGCATAGGCGTGCCACAAAGTGACTAATTCTAACTCTTAATAGTCATGGCACACAAGTGACGACAGGAGCTCCCTTGTTACGTGATCAAACAGATTTTTCAACATCAGAGCTTATGCAGTTGAGGGAGCAAAGAGGCGGAGCTAGAGAGAACTGGCAGATGACGAGAATCCATAGACTGCAGACTGGTGACCAGGAGCCAGGATGAGAGCCAGGAAGGGATGAGGAGCTGGGAGACCGCCATGGGGGGCTGTTGGCAGCGGCCTGACAGGAGCTAGCAGCTTGGGTGGGGCTGCTGAGACACTCTTGAGGATCCTGAAACACGCAGAGAAGATCCGCACAGGTCTTGCCTTTATGGAACAGTCCAGGGCAGGGTTCAACCTCCTCTTTATTTTATTTTTTAAGAGATTTGTTTTGATTTCATTTTATTTTGAAAGGCATAAATATATAATAAGTAAAATAAATAAGTAAGTCCTTAAAATGAAAGGTTGGGGGACAAAGGTGGGAAGAAGGGAGAGGAGGAGGGATGGGATAGGGTGAAGGAGAAGAAGAGGGTGAGGGAAAGGAAGATACCTTTCTTCTCTCTCTCTCTCTCTCTCTCTCTCTCTCTCTCTCTCTCTCTCTCTCTCTAATCACACAGAGGATGAGGCAGCAAGAAGAAATCTAATCAGCGTGTGCCACCCTATTGGGCTGCGGGAGAAGCACAGACAAGTCCGTTACTCATCATTGGCTTACTATTTATATTTTACAGATCGTTCTGGCTTTTTTATGCTCTCATCTGTCCATCCCTCCTCGTAGGGTTTGGTCACTTCAGCTGCAGAGCGAAATTTCCTGGTATTTGGAGACACTCGCCACCAGGGGGCAGCCCTATGCCGTGGTCACCCAGATAAGCAATTCTGGGGTGTTGTGGTCGCCTTCCCACAGCCCTAAGGGCGCCTCCTGGTCTCCTCTCCAACTACAGCTTCTACACCTGCCTCCCGATCCCGCTGCATCCGCAAGTGTAAACCGCCTTTCTAATGTAAAGGAATGTGGCCAGCCACAGTTGTCTGAGCGGCTGCCTTCCTAAGTCACTGCAATTTACTTTTAAAATTCTTCCTTTAAAATCCTGAATTTAGCTCCAGCTATTCCCAGCCCCTGCCCCTGAACCCTTGACCTGGTGACTTCTCTCCGTTTCTCTTTTGTCCTCGTCCAGTGATGCTCTTTGCCCACTCTTCTCCACACCTCCCACCCTCCTGCTGCTCTGTCACTATGGTTACCGTGGGGACCAGTTTCTGTGCTGCCCTGTTCCAGAGTTTCTGGAGTAATTTCCCAGTGAATTCCAACTCAGTTATCTTTGTCCTCATCCTTTTCCATCAACAAATAAGGAGAGAGAGAGAGAGAGAGAGAGAGAGAGAGAGAGAGAGAGAGAGAGAGAGAGAGAGAAGCAGCTCAGATACCAGACTTTGGTTGTTTCCTCTCTCTTTTGTATGAGAGAAAGAAAGCCTTTGCCTTCTCCTCTGCTGTAAACCCAAATCTACATACACTTACTAAACAGCTCTTGGTTTTGTGAAAACATTAAATATCTGTGTTCTTTCAATTTGGGAAGTTAAAAGGGTCTCTTTCTTAGAGACCAGTGACCTGAAGTAGGAACCCATGCTGTCACATGGGGGCGACATCAATGCAAAATGTCAACCAAGTCAGCCCAAGCCACAGCTGAGCCCTCTAAGGGAACAGCCTACAGCCTGTAATGAGGTTAAAAGCCAAGGTTTCCAGAGACAGAGAGGGGAAACATTTCCATTGATTTCTGAGTAGCAAAGATGATTCTGGAAGACCTTGGTACAGTCGCATGGATAAGAAGAGCAGGGATAGCTGTGTGTTGATGAGTGTTTGGGATCCGTCTGCTGGATTTCTGGTTGCTTAGGATCCTGTGAGTTGGGTAATTTTCCAGGCTTCTCTTAAGGTACAAGATAACCTACTCAAGTTATGCAAATGCTCATTCAAAGGAAGCAGCGGAATTATGTTAGTCTTTTCCGTAATTCTGTTGAAACTATGATTCATGGAGTCTATTCTCAAAGAAGACACATCTGATGAACATGGTCCAGCGATGTACTTTTAAATGGTGTTAGGGCTGTAACCCACAGATACACTTCTCAAGATTTACCCCCGCCCCATCCCCACCCACTCTCCCTCCTTACAAGGCTCCTTTCTGGACCCCTGGCTTTCAGAACACCACTGACCCCTCCCCCAGCCTATCCTCTGGCCGACTTTGTGCTCTTTCCATCAGTCTTTCTCATTTCTGCTTCACAGAGGTCCCCGGACAGCTCCCAGGAGGGCTGTGGGAAAGCATGGGAGTAGCGAAAGCCAGACATTCAACTCAGAGGGCTCCTGGATGAGTTGGGAACACACTTGAAAGCAACACTTTGGCCTAATCAGCAACAGGAGCAAAGGTAGTCATGATTTCTCTGAAACACCTAACGACAGGACAGGCATCTCAAGTATTGGTGACTCTTCTGTCACTCGCTCCCTATACGTGAGACTGAGCCTTGCTGCAAATTCACCCACGTTCAGTCTCCACACACTTGGCCATCTAAGAAAGAGACAATTTATGCTGGTCTCTGGAGGCAGCTCTCTCACTGTGTGACCCATCACATAGGTCAGGAAGTTGCTCTCTTGATAATAGGATGGGAAGCTGAAGGCCTCTGGGGAAGAGGAAAGCAACGTGTTTACGTCATCCCTCTTTGTTGGGGGCAGGAAAACAACGGTATCCTAATAGTGCCTCTGTTTTGGCACACAGGAAAAGCTGTGCGATCATTTCCGGGTGATTGAATTGTTCATATCTTAGTTGATACCTCATGAGCTGTTATGTCTGGACTCTGAAATGTTCCCTCACAGGCTCATACTTTGAATGCTCGTTCACCAGAAGGTCATGTTTAGGAGATGGGGCCTAGCTGGTGGGTCACCAGAGGTGGGTCTTTGAAGGTGCTGCCCAGCATCTGATGCCTGTCCTAACTTTGCCTTTTGATCTGCTGTGATGTGAACAGCCTCTACCACAGACTCACATTGCACGAACTGGGATGCTCTACACTGTCTTCCCTGCTCTTCCTCTGTCTCCCACAACCATCCTTCTCATTTAGCGGAGGCAGGGCTTCGGCAAACATTCAGAAAAGCTAATCATTCTAGGTAGCCTGGGACTCTGTTTTTGGAATCACCAGCAGAGATCCCTGGACTACTCTCTGGAAAGACATTGCCTTTCCAAAACTTCTTGCCCACATTAGGCAAATCTTTTTAATTTTTGTTTCCTGGAGTGTGGATGTCCACAGCTACCACATACAGCCACTGAAGCTACATGCAAGGGGCTGGCCAGTTCGGCTGGCAGCTCTCTGGTGGGCACAGTAGACCTGTTCTTCTTAAGACATGTCTCCTTCCCCAAAAGCTATGGTTTACGCTGTTCAAGTCTCCTTCTTCAGAATCCTTTAACAGGTACCAGGGCCCTGTTGTGAAGATCTATGGCATGGAGCCATACTGCAGCTTCCAGGTAGAGTTTCATCATTCCTGGATGAATGATTCTGGCATTCATCATACTGGCTAATGGTTTGTTTCTGGGAAGGACCCAAAAGTACAGTCAGAAAAATGTCTGAGGTCATCAGCTGTGCTCTGGTTCTTCTTCGATTTATTGTCAGGCAGTGGTATCTTTTCATCTTGTACCCATGTATTGTGGTAGTTCTAACTCAAGGGCCTTTTAAGGACAAAGCCACTCGCTACAGTGTGGTAATAATTGTCATTGCTGTGACTCACTTGACATAGCATTCATGACAAAGTAGCCGAGATTGTAGAAATCTCCAGTATCAGCATTAGTCACCTCCTTTGAACATTCTTATTTTGAAATTTATGTGTATGTGTGTGAGTCTATGGGCACTATGTGTGTGTAGATGTCTCTGGGGGACATAATAGGGCATAATTCAACTGGTGGAACTGGAGGCACAGGTGGGAACTGAACCCAGTCCTTCTTCAAGAACAGCAGGTACCCTTAACTGCTGAGCCATCTCTCCAGCCCCAGGTTGACTCTTTAAGCTGAGAAAAAAGTGGAGAAGATTCGGAAGATGCCAAGGGAGTGAAATCTGAAATCTTAGAAATAGAGAAGACTGAATTTAGATAGTTCAGAGTGCTGGCTTACTTGGGATCAGAAATGCATGCCAAGTTTCATTTTATAGTGACTGAAAGTCTCATGCAGGTAGTTACCTGGGGGTGTAGTTCTGGGTAGATGTGCTTGTCTTGGCCATGGGAGCCTTTTCAGTAGATGGATCTGTTATAAGTGGTCTGTATGCTGCCCCCAGTATAAATGTAACAGAGAACATCTGGCTCAGTCACCAATGACTGCCAGGATACCTGGCCTCGTTCCGGGGTATGAGGCAGCAAAACCACCATCAAGCCAACAGTGGTCTCCACAAGACAGCGGACTGGATGGCAAGGAGACTTGGCACCTTTTTCTCTGTGAGGAAAATTTCTCTTTTAAAAAGCTGTTCAAGTGTTATGTGAAAGTCATATTAGGGCCAGCAAGGTGGCTCAGTGGATAAAGGTATTTGCTGTCAAGCCTGCTGACCTGAGTTCAATCCTAAGGACCTACATGATTGAAAGAGAGAATGGACCCCTGACAGGTGTTCACACACACACACACACACACATACACACACACACACACACACACCACATGCACATATGCATACATGCATGCATATACATATACAATAGATTAAGGTAGCAAAACTAAATTTATTTAAAAAAGAAAGTCACTTTAAAAATTAAACAAAACAATAGGGTGGTGGTGGTGCATGCTTTTAATCCCAGCACTTAGGAGGCAGAGGGAGACAGACTTTTTTGAGTTCAAGGCCAACTGGTCTACAGAGCGAGTTCCAGGGCAGCCAGGGCCACATAGAGAAACCCTGTCTCAGAAGCCTGCTCCCCCACAAAAAAATTAAACAAAGCAATTCCAGTAATAGCACAAGTTCCCTTCCCCACCCCTCTCTAGTCTCCTTCTCCAGAAACGGATACTTTCAGCTGTTTTATCTGTTTCTAATGATACCTACTTACGTCTTCTAAATGGAGTAGTATGCATGGGCTGACATTCCTTGCATTATCTGCTCTGGATATGCATCTGTCGATTTATTATTAGAGTAGATGAAGATTTAGCTTTCTCGGCACTATCTCCTAGTAGCCGCTCCGTTTTCCTCCCTTTCCACAGGACCCGTGTGAGATGGCATAATAGCATGAAGAGCAGTTCCTCTGAGTACAGGCTGCTTAAATACGCATTCCAGCTTTGTGACCTCAGGAAATGCATGCAAACTATCCAGCTTAACAGGATGTTGATGAAAAGGGCACCTAGGTGAGCGAAGTAACTGAATGGGTTAACCATAGGAGCAGTAACATTAGCTCAGAGCAAATGTTTCTGCAATGTCGGCTTCTTGTTAGGTTTTGTTAGTGTTAAATTAAAAAGTTGTATTTAGGGGCTGGAGCAATGGCTCAGTTGGTAAAGTGCTTGCCACCGAAGCCTGAGGACCTGAGTTTGATCCTCAGCACCCCTGTAAAAGAGAAGAAAACCAGCCTGGCAGCCCTACCCAGGGGTCCCGTGCTAGAGAGGCAGAGGCAGGAGAATCAATCCCCTGGGCTCACTGGTCAGTCAGTGAGAGACCCTGTCTCAAACAATAACATAGAGAATTGAGAAAGACACCTGACATTGCTCTCTAGCCTACATGTGTACACGTGCACGCGCGCGCGCGCGCGCGCACACACACCCACACACATGCAGTTGTGCACTCATACATACGTGTGAACTTGTGTGCACACATATACGCGTAAACAAGAACACACACATAGATTCTGTATTTAGATCACTGCAAATACATAAATATTAGTTCCTGCTGATTGTTGCTCAGTTTTCCTGCTTTCAGGAGTTGTTCCCATGAAGTTAATAACTGCATCATTTTGCTTAGTGTTCTGTGAATCCTCCTCAAGCTCAACAACAGCAACAAAGCATCAATCATCGCTCACCTCCATTTGAACCCTGGGCTCAACGCCAGGACGCTTCCAGTCACTTCCACCTCCTGGGCATTCTGTTGTCTTTGCTATCTTCATGGAAATCTCCGAACAAAGGCCAGCAAGCTGACTCAGTAAGTAAAGGGACTTGCCGCCAAACCCGACAACCTGAGTTCAACCCTGGGGACCTCCGTGGTGGAAGGAGAGAACCATTTCCTACAAGTTG